TTCTGTTTGTATTAATATCACATTAACATGAAAATTGTGTTCTAGTAATTATCATGTATTTATTGTGACCGTAAGGATCTAAGCTACTAGATTTAGAATTATTACGGTCAGGCTGGCACAATGGCTCATTAGCTAATCCTCCACCTGCAAGTGCTGGGATCCTGCATGGGTGTGGTTCATCTCCCAGCTGCTCCACTTCCCAACCAGCTCCCTGTTTGCTGCCTGGGAAAACTTCTGACCTGGCTCCTCCCTAGCTACTGCAGACATCTGGGAAGTGAACCAGCTGATGGAAGATCTTTCTGTCTTCCTTCTTCATAAAACATACCTTTCCAATAAAAATTAATTTAAAAAACTATTAAAGTCCTATGCAGCTATGGAAATCATCCTTTTGGAAGATCTCCTTTTTAATAAAGATGAAAGGAGGGCTTTAATGCTTGCAAAAAAAAAAAAAAAGCTCTCCAAAGTACTACAAACATAATGTTTTATTGTTGCTATTAATAGTACTTTCTTTTCTCTTGAATCTTTATGGTCTTGGCAAAAGCCACAACAGGTAATAAGGCACACAGACAACTTAGGAAAGGTTAACTGAAGGGGAAAAAGCCCAAACTGTATGTTATTAAAATATTGTTAACACAATTGGAGCTCATTTTTGAAGCTTAAAACATCTCTACAACAATGGAAATCATTAAATCTTTTTTATTTTTATAAGATTTATTTTATTTTCATTATAAAGTTAGATATACAGAGAGGAGGAGAGACAGAGAGGAAGATCTTCTGTCCGATAATTCACTCTCCAAGTGACTGTAACAGCTGGTGCTGTGCTGATCCAAAGCCAGGAGCCAGGAGCTCTTCCAGGTCTCCCAGGTGGATACAGGGTCCCAAGGTGTTGGGCTGTCCTCAGCTGCTTTCCCATGCCACAATCAGGGAGCTGGATGGGAAGTGGAGCTGCTGGAATTACAACCGGTGCCCATAAGAGATCCTGACGCAATCAAGGCAAGGCCTTTAGCCACTAGGCCTCGGTGCCAGGCCCTAAATCATTAAATCTTAATCTTGAGATTGCAAGGACATTGGTTGTGGTACCCAAGACTGGATCTGCTCTCGCAACATGAAGCATGTTAACATTCACCACTGCACATCCTCCCACAAAGCAGAGGGTGGAGAGTGGAACTTACAGAGTATGTAGAAGACAAGTCCCCAGAAGCTTAAAAATATATTCTGTTGATAAATATAACATGCATTTTGGAAATTTTAGAATAAAAAATACATAAAGACTCTCAAGTACATATAGTATAAAAGAAGGAATTATTGCAACTGCTAAGTGCATTGTTCATGATAACTGCTGTTACTTTCAGATCGTTTTATCTTTATTCGTGTTTGCTTTTATTTTACATTTTTTAAAGATTCATTTATTTGTATTGGTGAGGCAGAACAACAAAAAATCTTCTGTTCCCAGGTTCATTCCTCCAGTGGCAGCAGTGATGGGAGCTGAGCTAATTCGAAGCCAGGAACTTCTGCCGGGTCTTCCACATGGATGCAGGGTCCCACAACTTTGGGCCATCCTTGACTGCTTTCCCAGGCCACAAGCAGGGAGCTGGATGGGAAGTGGAGCAGCCACAACACAAACTAGTGCCCATATGGAATCCTGGCATGTGAAAGGTGAGGATTTACCCAATAGGCCATTGTACCAGGCCTTTATTCTGCATTTTTTTTTCTTGACAATCCTTACATAGTTAATTAGGACACAAAGGTTCAAGGGCTACAGGAAAGTAGGTAACACTATTATTTCCACATTTTTTCCCCTGTATATGGGGTAAAAGGGGTAGGTAAAGGGAGAAGCCCCACCCAGTCTCCCACCCATCTCAGGTGCCTGATTTGGGGCATGCTCCAAAGGTCCTGGTCAAATGGTTTTGATGGTTCAACAGTTATGAATTGCTGCCAATCTCGCCATTCCAAGCATAATGAGGTCACTGAAGAAACCCCTGATTGACATAATTCATCTTAGAGTCTCCGTTTGCGAAGTTTTTCACTGCCAACACTTGGCTGGGGTAGTTGATTGATTTGTTCTGTCCTCTGTTGTGGTGCCAGGTATTCTCTGCAGGTTCTGATAGACTGCCATATCCTCCATGCACACCTGCTTATGCTCTCCACTGCTCTGTCTGAGCCTCTGAGGAGGCTTGGCTCTGACACTTGCACTCCATGGCAGACCATGGAACCTGCACTTCTCTTCATGGTTAGGGTTCTGAGTCTGGCAGTTCAATTGGGGAGATCCCTAAAGAAACTTTGAGGTGATGCCAGACCAGATTCTTATGTATTTGGCAAGTACAGGGCCCGGTACAGTCCATTGCCAATCAGCTGGTGGTTGCAATTACTGGGTCAGTTGTTTCCAGCCCTGTCTTCCACTGGAACCAATGGGTGTTGCAGTCCAGCCTGATTCTGCCCAGCACACACTCGGCCCTCTCATAAACCAGTGGGAGCTGCAGCCTAGTGTTGGAACAACAGACTTACGGGCCTTAGACTTGTTGGTCTGCCTGACAGCCTGCTGCATTGCAAAACCTACCTTGGGCAAACAGGATATTGCGGCTAGAACATCCCGCAAAACAAGCGGAAAGGAACTTGCTGAGCCTACATGAGCTCCGCCCTTGTGCCTGTTCAGATGTTTACCCAAGATTACTTCCCTGTTTCAATGAAGATAATTAGTTCCTTCCCTATTTCAGTGTAGATAATTAGTTCCAGGAAACCCCTCCCCTTTCCCTCCTCCCGTAGAAAAGAAGGTATATATATGAGGAGTAAAATAAAGAGCATTGGCATTCTGTTTCACCAAGTACCTGCGTCGGTGTGTTTCTTGGGCTAGCAACCCAGCATTCCCAGTCCACCTTCAGGGTTTGAGCGTCGTGTCCTGCAGGTCTGGCGACCCACAATAAATCCCACCAGGCCTGCCCTCTGCCCTGGTTCCCTTGCTTGCTAACATGAGCAGCAGACTAGTCCAGTCTGTCTCACATCCCATTCAATTTCTATACATGTCAATGGGCATTGAAGCCTTGTTCAACCTAACCAGCTCCGCTATCCAGTCCACACACATGCTGTTGCATACCTTTCTGTCTAGCTACCCCTGCCTCTGTCCTGGTTTTTATGCTCTCCAGTGGGAGTGGTAACCCAAGAGGGAGTGTTAGAGTGTTAGTATAATGTTAGAATGTTAGCGTTAAGCAACGTTAGGCCCCTTCGTGCCAAGAAACTGCTACTTTGCTTAGGTCAGGATGTGTCCAGAGGATGAGAAAACACCATTTTTAGCAATAAATATGTCCTTTGTTCCTCTGTGGCCTTGTGAACAGTGTCACAAACTTTATAAAATACACCCGGGTGCAGAAACACAGAAGCACAATTATCCGGTCCCCGAAACAGAAGGAACCATAAAGATAATGGGTGTGGGAACAGAATGAGCTGTTTGTCCCCAGGATCCATAAAGATAATGTGTGTGGGAATGGAGTGGACTGTTCGCACCTGGAAGCCGTAAAGATGACATGTATGAAGTTTGTTACTCTTTAAGCTCAGTTTGGATTTGCGAGGGCTTTGATGCATGACTATGATGTATGTGATGGCCAAAAGGGGGCCTATATAATCACTGGCTTTCTCTAGTTCAGGGTCCAGCCTCTCCTTGGCTGGCCTGCATGACCCAAGAATGGTGTGACCCCAGCATGCTGGCACAATAAACTCTACTTGCTTTTGCATTACCAGTGAGACTCTTTGTCGTTTCTGGGGAATTGGAAAAACCAGACTCTTTTTTTTTGTTTGTTTGTTTAAAGATTTATTTATTGGGCCTGGTGCGGTGGCGCAGTGGTTAAGGTCCTCGCCTTGCTTGCCCGGGATCCCATATGGGCACCGGTTCTATCCCGGCAGCCCCGCTTCCCATCCAGCTCCCTTCCTGTGGCCTGGGAAAGCAGTCGAGGATGGCCCAGGGCTTTGGGACCCTGTACCCGCATGGGAGACCCAGAAGAGGCTCCTGGCTTCGGACTGGCATAGCATCGGCCGTTGCGCTCACTTGGGGAGTGAATCATCGGACTGAAGATCTTCCTCTCTGTCTCTCCTCTCTGTATATCTTACTTTCCAATAAATAAATAAATAAATCTTTTTTATTTTATTTTATTTATTTTATTATTTTTATTGAAAGGCGGACACACAGAGAGGAGAGACAGAGAGGATCTTCCATCCAATGATTCACTCCCCAAGTGAGCGCAACGGCCGATGCTATGCCAGTCCGAAGCCAGGATCCAGGAACTTCTTCCGGGTCTCCCACGCGGGTACAGGGTCCCCACACAGGTGCAGGGTCCCAAAGCCTTGGGCCATCCTCGACTGCTTTCCCAGGCCACAAGCAGGGAGCTGGATGGGAAGTGGAACTGCCGGGATTAGAACCGGCGCCCATAAGAGATCCTGGCACACTCAAAGTGAGGACTTTTAGCTGCTAGGCCATGCCGCCGGGCCCAAGAAAAACCGGACTCTTAACAAGAGGAGCGCACTTTTTCCCTTCTAGTCCTCTCCCACTGCTGAATTATGCACTCTCCAGGTAGTTCTGGGATTAAACTTAACAGATTTTTGCCTCCAGTGCCAGCCTCTGCCAGCTGGCGCTGTGGCAAAGCCCAACCAACCCTCACCCACTCCAGTTTCTGCTTATGCCAGTCAGAACAGTCTTCCCAGCCTGTGCCAGGCCCTTAATAGACATTTTGAAAAAATATATATATTTATTTTCAATGGAAAGTTGCAGGGCTTGGTCTCCCAAGGGTTAACTCCACAGCTTAGCTTGTTTCTCAAGAGGTATAACAGGGCATGCAATCTTGGCATGACACATTTAGCCCCCCCAGCCTAACCGCAAGTTCCTGCTTCCTGTTTGTCAAGTTATGTCCCCAGGGGATTTTAGGGTGGTTGCTTCAGGATTGCGTAGACACTGGGAGGAACTAGGCAGAGTATAAAAGGCAGCCCAGGGTTTCAATAAACGGCATTCTGCATTCTCCTTACACGAATGACCCAGTGCGTGTTGTCTTCTTTTCAACCCTAGTCCCTCTGCTCGGCTTGGGATACACGGTGACACTGGTGTTCCCGACATCTTGAGGTCCCACTGAGATGGAGAAAGAGGATTGGATGAAGGGTCATCCCGGGAGGCTGGTCAGCTGATTGATGTAAGTGGGACATATTGTAAGCCTTTTCTTGACAGTTAGGAGAGTTGAGCCATTGTCTTGGCCCCTGTTGTATGTTTTTAAGAATTATGTCAGGACCACAGTATTCAATAACCTTTCAAAACTCATTTTTTGAGCCCGGCATGGTAGCCTAGTGGCTAAAGTCCTCACCTTGCACGAGCCAGGGTCCCATATGAGCACCAGTTCATATCTTGGTTGCTCCACTTCCCATCCAGCTCCCTGTTTGTGACCTGGGAAAGCAATCAAGAACAGCCCAAAGCTTTGGAACCCTGTACCCGCACAGGAGATCCAGAAGAAGCTGCTCGCTCCTGGCTTCGGATCAGCTCAGCCCTGGCTGTTTCGGCCACTTGGGGAGTGAACTATTGGGTAGAAGATCTTCCTGTCTCTCCTTCTCTCTGTAAATCTGCCTTTCCAATAAAAATAAGTAAATCTTAAAAAAAAAAAATCAGCATCAGAAAGAAAAGTAGAAATTTACAATGCCATGAAATTAAATAACATGCTACTGGATATGATAGTCTCCATTACACCGTTACTGTATAACCCCTTAAATGAAAACCCACAAAACAAAATCAGCAACAGGAAGAAAAAAAAGAAACAAAACCGTGAAGTTAAATAACATGTTAGTGAATGACTAATGTGTTGTTGAAGAAATGAAAAAGAAAATCAAGAACCTTCTTCAAGAAAATGATGCTACTGTATGATCTATGAGTCATTGAAGAATTTAATGAGGAAGAAAGTGTTTATGAAGAGAGGCAACTAAATTAAAAAAAATCGAAATTGATGAGTTATAGTTTCCACTTATTTTTGTTGTTGAGATATGTCTTCTGTAGGCAACAAATTCATGGGTTTTGTTTTTTAATCCAGTCTACTAATCTATGACATTTGATCGATAAGTTTCAACCATTTATATTCAGGGTTAATATGAATGGGGGTAATTTGGTTCTGTCATTTTAGCAGTGGGTTGTTCATTGATTTAGTCTTCTGTTGTCTTTTTGCTGAGGGTGAATTGCCTGTCTGTCATCACATGGACACGCTGACAGTGTGGGAGTTCAGGGACAAGTGGGACTTCAGACACGAACTGGGGAGTTGGCAGCTTGTGCCCGCACAACTCGTTATGCCTAAGCAGGAAGAGTAAGCACAGAAGACAAAGAACAGAGAAGAGAAGAAGTCCAAAGAATGAGTTCTGGAGCACCCCAGAATGTAGGGCTTGTTACCTACGAAGGTTGCTGGTTCATTCCTCAGTTTATTACAGAAATTGAAAGCCAGAAAGCAGTTTCCATCAGAGAAGTTTTATTTGCATAGTGAAAGCAAAAGTAAGAGCAAAAATGAAAGCAAGGAGCTGGGGTGCCTTCAGAGAGATAAAGGGTTTCAGGAAGTGTTCGAGTTTTTGAGGGTCTTCTGACCTCTCATTGTGTTACTCAGCTGGGCAGGGTAGTCCCTCTGTTGGATGCCCACTTTGTTGGGGACCTACAAAGACCTTTCTCATCTCTACTAGAGATGAATAAACGGAGAATATGAAAGGTCACACAGAACCGAATTTATTATTGTAACAGGGCTGCCATCATCTCTAAGGATGATGCACCAAAACGAAGAAAGTGAGAATTTTTATACTTTCATACAAGTATAGTGCAAGTGGTGGGAAAGCAGGTGCATGAAGCACAGATTAGCTGAGTTTCTACAAGGTCAGAGTAACCCATAATAATTCCAAGCAGAGGGTAAATAAGTAGCTCTCCTGTGGGAAGAAAAGAATCAGGCAACATTCCAAGGGACAACAAAACATCAGAGAATTGGTCGTGGGGCCTTGCTGCATGCCCACTGAACCGGCCAGATTGGAATGTTGGTTTGCCAAGACTGCTGTCAGGGGGTTCCCTCAGAGACACGGTACATCATGTCCCTATGGCCTCCAGCATTGGCCAAGGAGGCAGAGATCCAGGGGCAAGGTGGGTCAGATCCTCTAGGACTCCAGGCTCTTTGATGTACACAGGAGCTCCTCTGCTTTACATCTTTTTGAAATGTCTGCAGAGCATCTGCATCTGCGGTCTCTAATGAATTAGAAACTGACTGAGCAACTGTTGAACTGTTTGTTCACTTGAAAAGTGTCGTTTTCAAGCCTAGCAGACTAGTGCCTATAGCTGTCACCATGCATATGCCGGGATTCCTTCGGGGCGCTGGTTCATATCCTGGCTCCTCCACTTCCCATCCAGCTCCCTGCTTGTGGCCTGGGAAAGCAGTCGAGGATGGCCCAAAGCCTTGGGACCCTGCACCCATGTGGGAGACCCGGAAGAAGCTCCTGGCTCCTGGCTTTGGATCAGCTCAGCCCTGGCTATTTCGGCCACTTGGGGAGTGAACCATCGGGTGGAAGATCTTCCTCTCTGTCTCTCCTCCTCTCTGTATATCTGACTTTCCAATTTTTTTTAAAAAAAGGAGTATCACTTTCCTGGCCACCTGGGGACATTTTCCTGACAAAAGGAGAGGCCTAAGCAGCTCAGGATTTAAACGCTGTCCTCTTTGTCAGTACTTGTAGCATGTGCAAGCATGCGGTGATAAGATGGTGGCCCAGGAGGAACAGCCTCACTAGGCTTGCCCTTGGACCTGACACAAGATTTTAGTGGGTTTGGATGGTCTCAGGGCAAAGTAGAGGAGTTAGCAAAGGATGCTGAGAAGTGTTAGTGGAAATGGTGGTGTCAGAGGCTTTTGTGTTCCCGTAAGAATCACAGACATGAAAGTAATGCTAAGAAGCTGGCAAGGTTTGGTAAGGTAGGGTGTCTGTCCAGGTGGTCGGACACCAGCAGCTGCACCTGGGAAAGTGGCAGGTGGGAGAAGAGAAACCTGAAGAGCCTCAGTGAATGCAGCTGCTGGACTAACAGAGGGTCAAGTCCATGTCACAGCACTGAAAAGCTGGCAGCTGGAGAAGCTGCTGAACCCCCCACAAAGCTTTCCAAGATCTCCACGTTTGGATTTGCCACAGGTATTCAGATGTCAAAAAAGGGATCTACCATCTCCATAAAAATTGGATTACAAAAGCTAAAGAAACTTTTGACTCTTGCTTTAAAACACTTTATGTAGTGGTGGCTTTGAATGAAGATGATGACAGCAAATCAGAGGAAATGCTTCTGTGAAGGAGTCAGAGGAGGTGATGGGCACTCTGTGTCTCTTTGTCTCTGTGAGGTTACCTTTAAAATACAAAATCTCATTTCTCTCCATTTCTTCCCCTTTCAAGAGCATCAACATATCTGTTCCCGCCTCTTAGAGTTGCCTGAATTCTCAACAGAATAGGGGGCAGCCACCGGTCCCACCTTTCTGATGTCCTTTAGTTCTGGACAAGATGAAAGACATCCCTGCCCATTGCAAAAGAGGTTTTTTTTTTTCCTTCCTACCCACTGAGTGACTCATTTGAACCCCCTCCCTGAGATGGTGCATGAAATGCTTCATTTCCACATTTCCACGGGTGCTTCCTTCCTTGGAGCCCCCTCCTGTCATGGCAGGAAATTTCTCTCTCTTGAATTTCCTTGTGTCTTTCCTCCCTTGGGACCCCCTCCTGTCACTACAACAGGAGGCCCCTTCTTCTCTTTACTAAATAAATCCTACCTTGCACACTAAAGTTGTCTGCGTGAAAATTCTTTCATGTAAACGGCAAGCGAGATTGCTATTGTTTTTTGCATCGAAGTCCCTGCAACATTTCAACTAGAGAGATGAGGGTGAAGCGTGTTAGAAGGACCAAATGTCCTCCACAGCAGCTGAACCAAATGTCTTCAGCAGAGGAAAGAATGCGTTTTCTGATAACCAAAAGCTATGAGAATGAAGTATAAAATCGCATCTTAAAAATGTCCATGAGCAACACAATTAAATGGTATGCTTTGAAATTGTGGTGTGTGGACAGTATGGCTTGGATGTAACACACAACAGCAAGAACCGGAATGGGTGTGGGCCGGATGGGCAAGGTCACTGTCCTGCCTGGACAGGAGGTAGACTAGGTGAGTCTGGGCCATGGACCCACCTGTGTGTGTGAGATTTGCCACCAAGAGTGGACGTGATAGAGGAGCTTGGGAAACTCTTGTCAGGAGGCAGTCCCTGCAAATGAGCACAAGAACCAGGATTAAACAGACAACAAGAAGATACTTGGGCTTGGCGCTATGGCCCAGCAGCTAAAGTCCTCGCCTTGAACGCATCAGGATCCCGATAGGCACCGGTTCTAATCCTGATTGGCCCTACTTCCCATCCAACTTCCTGCTTGTGGTTGTGGGAAAGCAATCAAGGATGGCCCAAAGCTTTGGGACCCTGTACCCATGTGGGAGATCTGAAAGAAGTTCTTGGCTCCTGGCTTTAGATCAGCTCAGTTCCAGCCATTGTGGTCACTTGGGCAGTGAATCATCAGGCAGAAGATCTTCCTCTCTGTCTCTCCTCTTCTCTGTATATCTGACTTTGCGATAAAAATAAATAAATCTTTAAAAAAAAAAAGTAGAAATAGCCCCAAGTAAAATAATGGAAATATATATAGAGAACTATTAGTTCTTACACAATTTTATGATATCAAGATACGTGAATTTCACTTCCTTTAATGTAGGCAAAGTATCAAATTTCTTTGTCTATTTGGTTGCTATTCAGATAACATCTCTCTCCTATATGCTGATTTCTTGACCCAAATGGAAAACTTAATTTGAGGTCGAAATGGAAGAGATAAGCAATAATACTGATACATTTTTGAAACTGAAAAAATTTTAAAAAGAAAAAAAAAAAAAAGAGTGAATGGGTCGCTCTCCAGAAGTGCCCAGCCACTCAGAAGTTTCACAAGATTACAGAATTTAAAGAGAGCCCAGTTTACATTCAGAAGGATGTTCAGCTCTTCCTGCTGTCCCCTCTGCCCCTCCCTCCAGAACAAGGGTTTCTCTGGGTGTGAAATTCCTCCCAAGCTTTTATCACCCATGTAGTGTTATCAGGTAACACTTGCCTGCTTGGCGATGGGCAAAGAGAATTCTCCTGGG